AGATTCGGGCTTGTAAATTTGCATATACGTCATACGGTGGGTGGAGCAGCCGAGCCACGGATCATAACAATAAACCGGACATCTCCTGATAACATTGGACGTTTTTCAATCTAAAATAAAGTGGCATATGCGATTCGGATATGAGAAAGTAGGTAAAGTTTTCAAGATCTAAGTTTATCCAAGAAAGTGTGTTTGGTTTCCGTGGTCTTAGTTGATATGTTAATTAGCCTGTCTTATGATTGGTTGAAACATATTAGACATGTCAATCATTACAAGCCCGAATCTGGCCGGTAATGTGAGGGCGCTTACACTGATGGCAAGTCTGTTGGGATTTTGGAATCGCAACAAACTGCAAGCAAGTCTATACAAACCGAAGTAAATCTTCCAGGAGTGGTGTCAATTCTTTCTGCCACAGTTCTTCATATTCTTGCAGTAAGTAGGACTGTGGTCCCATTATTGCCCTCACCTAGGGAAGAAAACAATGTTGAGAAAATGAAATGGTGAGAATATAGCTAGAGCAGCAGTGTTCTTGAATGGCTTCTCTAAGAATTGAATAATGTGAATACTAAGTAATTATCACTTCGACGATTGGAAATTATATTTCCTAACAAGTACCAGGTAATTACATTACACTGTTCTGTTTCCTTAGTTTTTACTCCCGTTTTGTTTATATTACTGAATTACAAATTCCATAAATATACCGGTAATACCTGTAAGCTGTTTTTGAAGATCACTATGAACGATTTGATGATGAACAATTTGTGTAATTGCATGGTGTGCCATGACAATGAGCATACCTATATAGTTGCATTAATCATTGTGCATCAGCTACGCATATTATCGACTTAGAAGACGTGCACACTAGCTGTGATCATCCTTAAGAAGCAAATATTTGGGAACATGATCTCATAATATTACATCATTCATATGTCAATACTCATATAGTATGATACTATAAAACCATTTATTTTCACTGACATTTAATTTCACTATTTTGATGTTTTGAGCATATTCACTGTTTTAATTTCAAGAATTTGTCAAAGAAACAATGAGTTTTATTGTTATTTTACATGTTCATGTAGATTTAATTTAGCAGATTTTCACATAGCGAAATTAAAGCCCAGTGAATAATTGATGCATTTACAGTATTGTTCTACTCACTCTCCCAGTTTGTAAATGTCGAATGTATATTCCTTCATTTTCTCTCAGAGCTATGGCACTTCTACAGAATTTATAAAAAAAACACATGTAGGTATATAAAGAAACAGTATATAATTTTGATTCAAACAATAGTAATTATCAAATGTATAATACAATACTATCTGTAGTATAAAACAAATACTTGACTTTGATTGCATTTATTCATTTCCAATGTGCTATGTTAATTTTAATACAAATGTATATCACATGAAAATTTTAGATCTGAGCTGCTAATGTTTGCATGCACAATGCCATCATAGCCATGTTGGTAGTTTGTTGAATTAATGTTCCAGGGTCAATTATAATAATAACATTTCTATGTATTTTACTATAATTTCTTAATTTGGAATCAAACAGATTTAATTCTCTTTTGGCTACAGGTCTTGTTCCAATTTTTTTTAAACTTCTTGAAAACTTTCAATCAGTGGATTTATTTTGCAAAGGGTGGCAAAAGTTGACTAGGAGTTCAAGGGGTTATAAAAAACATTTACCTGACCATAGATCCATCAGGTTTTTTTATTATTTTAACCTGAATTGGTGGAACATATGTACATGGTCCTCTTATCAACCACCTATCACCAGCATGTCTTTTCTTCATTACTACAGAATGAATCAAAGCAGACATGATTATTTTATTCATGCATCAAACTATATAATGTACATTCACACACCGCAAAAGAAAGAAATATTTTTGGTAAGGTTAGCTCTTAAACATGGAAATATTATTGGTTAAAACTACATTGTATTATCACATTCATAACATTTGTATCACCAGAGTGACTTAAGACAATGAAGATCAAAAACCCATATACCACCAAAGTGTTATGTCATATACTGTCAGACCTCTTTTAATTGTATACGATGCCCAAATGTTGTCCAGAGCGTAAAGGGTTATAAATGATTTGCTAACTACGGATTGGGGTAAGCTAACACGTGTATTTTCAGAATTATTATTCAGTATCTCCAAAAAATTAAATTTTTAAAAAACAGTGACAAATTTGAGCAAATATTATGAATGAACAAAATTGCCATACAGCATATGCGAGGCATTCATGTGCAACAAAAAACTGTGGTGTCAATAAAATTAACATACAGGGTAATGAGTGATTTGTGTTCTGTGTTATTTCAGCAATAGTTCCACTGTGGAAATATGCATGTGATAAATAAATAATCCCACAATATTTTCTCTTAGGTTGACATATTAGGGTAGTATCAATTTTATCTTGCAGCTCGGATTGATACACAACTCTGGTGTTAATCGCTTGTGTCTGCTGACATCAACCTAAGAGAAAATATTGTGGTATCATATATGAGTATTCTTTGATTAATATTTCAATATCGAATACAAATTAAAAAAAAAAAACATTTTGTGAAAATGAGTGTGTCCCCCTGTTATGCACTGAAGTCACCAGCATTTAAATTACTAGGGGAGGATTTGTATTGACATATAGATCAATTGGTATAAATAACATATACTGGTACTGTACACACAGCGATCTATGTGGTACAAAAGAACATATTAAAATGCTGGAATTTGACCAAAAGTTTATCATTTCAGAGATAAAGGCAATCAAAGTTAATCTCTGCAGAGCTCCTGTGAGAGTACAGAGTATAAGCAATTATTGGTGTTTTATAACAAAATATCTAAAAAATCAAACTCCATAACAATCAGAGGTGTCAAGAACATGGCACTAAAACTAAAGTCTGCACATTACCCTAAAATGCCTTAATTGGTGTCAAATTCGATCAATATATAGTTTTTGAGATTTTGCTTACACAGGTCGAAATGAAAAAAATTAGTATCTCCCCTATGTGTTTTGCACAATGCTAAAAACAGCATAATACAGACAGGCAATACACAATGACAGACACCCTGGAAAAGTATTGAACAAATTGTCAGCCCTGGCAGAAGTAAATCACATTTACAGAAAACTTGCCCTTCATACCTGACGTAGAAGTATCAGTAAATTCATCTTGAGCCTGTACAACTAATGCTTGGTCCTCCATCAGGATGAATGTTTTTTGAATTCCTTGTAAGAGTTTCTCACCTAAATGACATCGATAGTTAGCGTTATTACACTGTACAATTACAGTATACAGTACTACAAATGGATTTGCAGTGCCTTGATAAAGCCACCACCTAACGATGACTTATGATTGATTATTTAATCCAATCTTACATAGCTCAGAATTATAGAAAAGGGTAAGGTATTGTAACCTGTACCATACCCAACCCCGTCTCTGTTTATTATATAAACTTAAGCTACGTAAACCATTACAAATCATGCTACAAATAATATGATGTTATTTCTACTACATCTTTGTACTTTGAATTTCATTCTAAATAAAAACACAATCCTATATATGAATACAGTATAAAATAAGAAATTATAGTTTAGTGGTGGCCCCTTTGTACATACATGTACTATATATTCCGCATAATTTGTGATGTAGCTGATTTTAATTTTGTAAATAGGTACAGTTATTTATGGTAAAGCACCTTGTTCTCACGTACACATTATTACTTGTTAGATGTTATCTAACTATATAAATATATATATATATACATTTGTATGTTCATGCACATGTGCTTATTGTGAAATTAATTGTGAATATTATTTTTACTTTGAAAATATATTTTATCCTGGACTTAATCTATTTTGACAAAAAACATCACATGTCAGTGAGATAAAGCAACTTACAGTCAAAAGTTCTATTATTAAAATGAAACACAAACCTGGATGAAGGAAGAAATTTGTAATGCCTTCTCTTAGTTCCTGTTGGCCCAGCATACAATGTCCATCTTTCACAGGATTCACAACAACACAGTATTCATTCTTTTCTAACACAGTCTTTTTTATTTCCTTTAGTACTTTCTATGAACAATAAAATATTACGAGAATACCTCAAATTATACATGAAGACTGTATAGCTGGAGTATCACGCAATGAAGGTCGATGCGCGGCGTACTGTCTGAGTGCATACTTTGAGGTATTTCCGTAATAACCTTATTATTATACATCTTTTCCTTCCAAGGATACACCATGGGAATGCCGAAATCCAAAATGTTTATAACAGAATCAGCGAACTTCTTTGTGTGGAGTCCGGTCAAACTCTGGTGGCAGCCATGTTTGATTTTATTATTACAGGACGCTTACGCACACAATCATTCCATATTTGGAATTCGCATTTCCTACTATGATAGGATGAAAATACCCCGTAAAATTACGGCAAGCTGTAACTTATGGTGTTACAGTGACAGATGTATAATAATTTTTTACATTAGTCACATACACATATATACTACTACTCATTCATATTTCCAATGCATGGATTGCAATTAGGATTGTGTAATGGTTCAATCCAAGCAGTTCTTCTTAGCAGTATTGTGTATTGCCAGTTTTTGCGAAGTTACCAAGCATTGCATTGGATCTAAACTATAAATTGAGTTTTATTTTTTCCTTTTTTGGCTGATGGCTAAATGCTTATTGCTTAAAATTTATTGAATATTCAAATTTAACCACAGAATGTACTGTTTTCTTTACAAACCAGTTAATTAAAACCTGGTAAATATTCCTTCAAACTAAATACACTAAATTAAACCCAGTGATTATTTCTCCCTCTATGTGTGTACATGTACCATATATGTATATGCATTTGTTCATTGCAACTAAATGCACATTTTATGTTTGTAAGCTATTCAAAAATGTGTTTAGGTGGAAGTTTATGTAAACCACTCACATTGATCCAAACATGCTAACTTTGTTAACGTCTACTTACCACTCCTACATCTGGAATATAAGACTCGGTTTGGTCACATGTTAATAACCATTCCTCCCCAGCTAGACGGTCAATACCAAGTGCATCTGTAAATTTCTGAGTTGCTCTTAAATGTAAAGCATCTTCTTGCGTTAAAGTATAGGAATTTAATACTTGTACAATCTGGATGAAAAGACAACAATAACACAATGTGGTTGCCAATAAATGCAACATTTGGAAAAACATTATTTAAGGTCCATTGTTCACTTTGCACATAACTGATAGGACAAAAAAGAGCACAGTCCCATTTGCTGATCAGTTGTAGCTCTCAGGAAACAATTCCATAATAAAAGCAATTTATTATCAAGTTATTTATGAAACCACAGCTGTTTTTTAAACAATGGAAGTCTAGGACGAGAATTTATTAACAGGCACTTAATCTGCAAAGCTGGATCAATTGCATAGACACACTGCATAATAAAACCCACCTGCTCATAAACACCTGGTAAATATGCACCTGGTTTTTTCACTAACCATTCTTCTCCAGTCACTCTTTGCCTAAAAAAGTTATTAAACATAATTATTGTACACCATATTGCTAACATCACCATTCTGAAAACAACAAAATATCATTAGATCAAGTAAATAATATCTCATCTGTTTTCAAGTTAGTCCAGTATTTGAAGCAATTATATATTTTTAACATACTACACAAATGTATTTTTCACAGAATAATTTGGCTGCATATACTTACACATCATTTCTATCAATAAAGTCTTGTTTAGCCTGGATTCTCAGAGCTTGTCCATAATTTATCACATGTGGCTTAATGACACTCACTATCTCCTATGAGAAATAAGCAAATTTATAAAAAAAAAAACTTGAGAAACCAAACATGAGGAAGCACAATTCCAAAATCAGCTTTTATAATATCTATTCAAGGTGTGGGATATATGGATACTTAGCCATATATAGTTCCATTAACTTTGAACATAAATATATAATATATATGAACATAAATAAATGCTTCGACTTCTTCTTGAAAACTACAAGCCTGAATGCTTTGATACTTGGTGTATATGTATATGTACCTTGGGTAGACCTCTTTTAGATTTTTTCATTTTGTAATATCATCTTTAATTCTCTAATTTTGGTGAATATTTTTGTCATTTTTGGTAAAAAGTGATATTTTCGACTTCTTGTTGTAATAATAGCATTGTTTCTCTCTTTACTTACCACCTCTGCCGTGGGTTTATAAGTTACAGGACCTTCTACATGCCATGTATCCCCAGCTTTTCTCTGTTCACCACCATCATCATGGTCTACTCTAGCCATCACCAATAAGGCATGATGTGCTTTCACCACTGGTAATGTCTTAATAGCTGGTAAGTAAGCTAAATAAAAGTAATATCGAAAATATGAGATGCAGAGTAGTATACAATGGAGTGAATGAAATGTTGTAAAGTAGATATTTGCTCTATTATTAGTGTTATATATTTATTGCAATCAAATCCACTTTGGGATATTGAATGATTGATGTGAAGACACAATAAAATGTAAATAAATGGAAAATAAAAAATAAACAACATTAAAATGAAATTTATAAAAATATATATATAATGTGTACCTAATGTGTGTGATAATAAATATTAGGTGGAGTGAACTAAGGCAGCGTCTTGAGTGCTTTTAATGCTCCCCTCGCTTTTTGTGAAGCAATTATGAACATATTGTAATAACTCAATTAGTATTGTAATAAATGTATGTGCTATAATATGTTAAAATATTTCATATTTAAAGGATTCAGCATACAATAATTTAATATAATTTATGGTTTATGTCTGTGTTTATGGTTTGTGCCTGTAGTCGCGTAAATGACAGAGGTGGGTGTGTTATATTTTAATAACCTAGTATACACTTAATTTAACTAATTGGGTTACATTTGCTTCTATTGAACTAGTCTATATTTCATATTTAACCAGGCTATATATAACTGATCTACATTATATTAGTCCAGCGAAAGTGATCTATATTCTACAAGACTATCTAAACTGACTGACATTATATTAGTCCAGCTTAAGTGGAACCATATGGTTTGGTACAGGTTTAATTGTGTTTTGCCAGCTGACTTGATCTATATTATACAAGCCCAGCTGAACTGATCTATATTCTAGTATAGAAGTTCAGCTAAATTGATCTATATTCTATAGTAGCAACAACTCCATACTTTTCTCTTTCCCTGCACATGACTTTGTGAAGTCTTCTGCATCCACTAAGGATTCACCTGGATACAGTGCAAATGGTTCCTAGGAAATAAGACAATGTTACCATTATAAATATTAAACAATTATCATATGAGAGGATGTCTACTAAACTGGCCTACTGGCCCAGCCATGACAATTTTATAATCTAACATGAAATAACCATGACTGGTCTATTCTGAGGCGTATTCACCACTAATGTATGGTTTACGAACTAAACTCTCATCATCCAATGCAAAGCATGCATCCTCGCCAAGCTACTCAGAGGTGATGACTTTGAATTTGAGGCCAGTTTGGGGTAGTTCTGGCATTGGAAAAAAACATGACATACACTAAGTCTTGATCAAAGACGAAGCATGATTTGCAAGCATGGACGCTGTGATGTTTTTCAATAAAGAAAATGTAATATAAATAAACCCATGGGTGAATATGTGCTTTTCATTCATTTTCAATGCATGAACACAGCCCCTTGGTAAGTTGCAACCCCTGATAAGTGATTAGTCACGGTTTTTGCTTGGATTTCAACACCCTTGACATAACAAGGGGCGACTCTATATCTAAGCTATGACTGAGATTTTATTTTGAATGGCAGAAATGCCTGAAATTGATAAATTTTTAGCACTAAACTGACCAACACTGACCATCTTGAATTGGATCATGACACAAATGCGTTTGCATATGAAGAATGAATGAAATCAACCCAGGCATATCTGAGATACAGGTATTTATGGATGCACACACATGAAATTATAAGTCGCTGTTTTCGGACTACGTTTAAACAGGGAGGGGACTAAAAAAAAAATGAGCATACCTTGTGAAATCTAACTTCAAAATGGCCATGTCTAAGTTGGCATGGTTTGCCTAGCTCATACTTTCTGTTGATGAAAAACAACATGCATACTGAAACAATTACAAGCTATTCTGTAAACCAATATTTTCACTGACATTTAATTTCAATATTTTGAGCAAATTCATTTGGTTCACAAACGTGGCAGGGAAACAGTGAGTGTTATTGTTAATCTATATGTTCAGGTGAATTTAATTTTAATTAGCAAATTTTAATTAAAAACTACTGAATAGTTGATGTGTTATAGTATATCTCTTCTTAAGGTAGCAGGACTATTATTTGCATACTTGTTTTCATCTTCTAATTGTGACTAAATGACTACAAATAGACCCGGGAAAGTATATATTTTTAGAATCGCCAGACTTCAAGCTTTTCACAAGTGTATTTTGCATGCCCGTATCTGCATTCTACGACGCGTTACTCAATCAAAGGTGAAAAATTACTTTTTCTGTAAAAAAAAAAATTACGCATTTATGCTGGCGATAAGAAGTATTTTTTTCACTTTTCCTAGTTGTTCAATAGTCTGGTAAATTGAATGTGTCTGGTTAGTTTTATTCAAGCAACGCGTTTTAAAAAATAGTGTCCTGAATTTCAATTACTGTTTTAGTCGCATTGCCCCCAACTCAAACCACAACTCGTTGGTAAATAATCGATGAAATAGTTTGTCTGGACACATTCAAGTTCCTCTCATTGTCACCTTAAAGCTGTGAAAATTTGGTGTTAATCCGACGACAATAAGTATACGTTATTTTTTGTTAAAGACCTTGTATTTTGAAAAACATAAACTCCTAGAAAACGTCCATGAAGTAACAGCAAAGATTTTCAAGCTTGTTTATCGGCACAATCAATTTGTTTTCCCATCAAGGTCTGTTTTACCATGTGTAGGGACATCCAAATGTGTAAGGCTATTGGAAACCAAAAAAATAAAGGAATGGGATAGCTATAATTGGATAAATTCGGCATATGAAAACACCAAAATCAATGATTTTTTTCAGTGGCTGTGTGACCTTGTGTCTGACACATTCATATGCAAATGACTAATCTGTGAAACAAACAGGGGCGGAGACAAACCACTCAAATGTTTGGAAACACTCATTGTGTGTCAGATAGCTACTGATAACACATCCTAACATTGCTTTGTCTTGAGTTTATCTTTGAAACTTATAGGCACACAGATTAAACCTGTGTTGTTGATTTTGGAAAACACTACTGAGGCTGCCTTGCTTCCCTTCAGAAAATCTACATTTTAACCAACTTACATGACATTCTATGTTATATTGACTTTTATCATATGAAAGTTTATGGTGCATTTCATCAATTAATAAATAAATTTGAAAATCGTAATTTTCAACACAAATAATAGTCTCGCTACCTTAAATTATTGAAAACTGCACTTAAACTGCATGCACTTTTAAACCAGGCTAATAAATACTGTAAAACATGTTGAAATAGCTGCATACAATTTCAGCAAATTTGACCCCATGCATGAATTAACAGAGGTTTAGTTTAGAGGAAGTGTCAAATATCTCATTGTGAGAATATATTTTCTGTTAAATTAGCTACATCTTCAATTAGAGAAATTACAGATTAGCTAAAACAGCTAAAAGAGGTACATTACTTGGGGTTTGAAGCTATGGTGACATGATCTCGCTCTTGGCATAAGCGTTCCAACTCAGAAAAATGCAAATGCGCATGCCTGAGGTAACTAGGATACTGGGATGTCCAGGTGGATCAAAATAGCTGCTCACTATAAGCTGGATTACGATAACTATATTTTCTGTACATTTTCGATGTATTACATTTTTTCACTATGAATGTGGTAATACATGTTTTATTGTTTTATTACAAACCGTCTATGTCATGTCAGAAGGTCATAGCATCAGTCTCGCTATCTAGGAGATGAGACTTGAATGGCATTTTGGCATGATGTCACCATACAGTACTATGCGCGTTGCAAACCCCAAGTAATGTACCTCTGATTGTACCTACATTATTATTTGCATTAATTGCTGGTTAACTCAAACCAGAAAAACAGTGTTCATCCCTCATTTTCATATTTCTGTAAAATCTGAGTATTCTTGAAATTGAAATGTTATTTGATTGGCCAATAGAAACATTTGTTGCGCCAAAAGTATTCATAGTTTTAATTATTTACAATAAATAAACACCTGATAGGATCTTTAACAATGCAATAATGACCAGGTGGTACTACAACACATGGTAATGGTCCAACTGTCAATAATTCATTTATTTGTAGCACTAATGTCTTTGGCCCAATTTCCAAAGATGTAATGCTGGTAGTCTGAAAAAAATAACACAGATTAAAAATGCATTTATACTTGATACTATGTATTAAAATAAACAATGTATTTTGTGTGTGTTGAATGACACATGGAACCCATATTGAACACAGTGTGGCAGGACAATTGTATTCATCTCTCCTTCATTTATCTATTTAAGCAGGGGAGTCGTCACCTGCGTATGTGTTAGATGGCCATATCGTGTCACTGTTTACAAACAAGTGTCTACCCATGAGCCTTTGCGTTTTTAGCGTGTGTTGTTATCATCACTTGTGACTCGATTCCTGTGCGTGCGCAGGTGATACCCTCCAGCTTTATCCAGGAATATAGTTGTTCTATAACTTAAGTGTTGAACAACACAAGACCAGTCAGCATGCATTTGTGATGCATGGCTGTAAATCAGGCAATGACTGAAAACCTGCAAAGACTTGTGAGTAATGGGCATTACCAAATGGCCTCTATATCCAATGTAAACTTTTTCTTTGAATTTGAATAAAGCGTGAGGGTCTTTTGAGATTAATATTCTTACGTCCATGAAATGCAAAACAATTATAAAGTCATATCAATATTTCATGTTTACTGTAGAATACTTTATTTTTGCTTGGAATTTATTTTCGCTATTTTCGCTGAAGGGATGATTCCGTGAAAATAAAATCCAGCGAATATACTTTTTTTCCTATATTTCACATTAAACTCATGAAAAATCAGTGAAAATAAATTCCAAGCAAAACGCCCAAAAAGCCTTTTCAGCGAAAGTTAATCCAGCGAAAATAAAGTATTCCACAGTATTTTGAAAATGAGAGTACATATGCACAACACGTACAATAATATGGTATTATTAAACATTGCTGTTCCATTGACAACTAAATTCTACCTAAACAAACGTGTTGCTAGTGTATGTTGACCTGATTTTATGCAACAGGTTGAGTGGAAATGTACTCTATACAATCGTTGACATTATTAAAAATTAACACTCAAGCCACCGGACGGTGCTCAAGCAAACAACCATTCGTGTTCACACAAGGAAGGCGTTCACTGGTTTGGATCAACACAAAATGGGTTTAATGCACAAAAAGTGACTCACTCGACTAGAACGTCATACTCACCACGTTCAAGACATGCACAAACTGATTGGGTCCAATTCCAACAATATCACTCATACTTTAAATATTCAGTACTCTGCTTGTGTGGTAGATTTAGATGTTTGACACCCAGGGTTGGACACGTCCTTATTTTGACCGTGGTTAGAGCAACCTGGAAGATGCTGGACGAAACTATTTTATTTAGGGATACTGAACGTTATAGTTTGAAACGAATATCTGAAGGTGGAAGTTTTAAGTTTTTTTACGATGTAAACATGATAGAATAATTGAAAATACAATAAGGAAAATTTTGCTATCCAACAATTTGATATTTGTTTTGGATTATCCTAAATATAGATACTGATTTTTAACCTACACACTGAATAGGCCTAGACTGTTTTTTGTCACGTGACCATAACTTAAGTTTCACTTTCTCATATACATATATTTTGTAACTTGGTTTTATCGTGTGAGTGGATAACGTCTACATGCTGTTAAAATATTCGAAATATTATTTCGTTTTGAATGTAATATAATGTATGTTTCCGATCTATTTTAAATCACGTACCATGTGAGACTAAAGAGTAGACGCGAGAGTCGGCCATCTTTGATTTCAAAACAAACCGGGAACGTTAGCGTTTCCCTGATATTTGTCTTGTTTTCTGTGTCAATACTAAGAAAAGATTGAAGTTACAGTATTTAAGGTACGTTACGAAAATATGTTCTTATCTCCGATGATCACTTGAAAACACTGGTTCGCGCGATAATGCGGGATTTTGCTTGAACCACGACACCGTCCCTCAAATTGAGGGACGGTGACCACGACAATGAAATAATGCGAGAATGAAGCATGTGAAACTCTTTCAATTTCAAGTCCGGACTTCAAGCTCCCATTGAGGCTGCGGGCAGACGCTTTTTAGGATTCGAGTTGTTTTGGAATTTGGAATCTCAAAACCTACATTTTCCTCACAGTCACTTGGGGGCTGAAAATCAATAAATACTAATTTTCAATAAAAATCATCCGCTATACGTATATAAATAAACAAGTTGTGAAACACG